TTGAGGTTCTAACAATTCTTTTTTAACCTGTTTTATCCCATTTAATATCGTTGTAGATAGGAAGACAACAGAAGACTCCTCGTCAAGTAGGCCAAATGATTTGCTTGCGTTAATTGTTGGTGGCGATAAATCCAGATCACAAGCTTTTGATGGAAACGTTTCAAAAAGCTTTCCATCTGAATTTTTCGATCAGAGTCCTGAGCCTACAAGTAAGGTCACATTGCATATGCCTTCTACACCACTTGGGGTCCCTGAGCCTATGCATGATTCTAGTAAAAGGGAGGCCACCCCGCCGATCCTTACTTGTGAGGACCTTGAGCATAAAATGTTGTCAGAGTATGGTGAAAAGAAACCTAATCTGCAGCCTACTTCACAAGTTTATGGTACTAATCACTTAGACACTGTAGAACAACCGGTAAATGTGGACAACAATGCATCTCAACACCTCCTCTCATTATTACAGAAGGGGCCAGGTCTTACAACTATGAAAGGGAAGGGCAGTATTGGCACTGACGCCCGGGATGGACATGATGAGTTTACTGTGCATGACAGATCTAAGGAGGAAACTACCAGGGATTCTCATGCTCCAGGAAAGGCAGTTACACTTGAAACCCTTTTTGGATCTGCTTTTATGAAGGAGCTGCAATCTGTACAAGCTCCAGTTTCAATTCAGAAGAACTCAGTTGGTCCTGGACTAATTGATGATTCAGAGACACGCAAGTCATCGTTGCCTGGTTTTGATGATGGACTATTTTCTTCCATAATTGATGGTATTGGACCAAAAGGAGGTGGTAACGATAACAGACTCTTGCCATTGAATTACAGTGATCAAACCAAGCTGGATAAGCCTCAAAACTGGTTGGGATTTGGAAATTCTCAGTATGAAGTTAATTCAAGGCACCAGAGTGAAATGGTTTCCAAGAGTGAGGCTGCTGAATTTCATCTGCCTGCAGAAAACTTATTTAGTGCTCGTGATCATTTGAATCCCCAGGTCTCAATGGTTATGCCTGCAGGAATTTTGAGTGAAGGAGAGTTGACAACTGGTAGTGTGTCTGGCAGTGATGAAAGGTCCTTGATGAGTCTAGAAGGTCTGCCTTTATCGCGCGTTCCCTATGAGCAGTCTGAAATGCCATTGCACCATCGTCTTGCTCAACCATCATCTCTGCAATTTCATCCCTTGCAAATGAGCCAAGGGAGGCCATTATTTCATCCGATGGATTCTGGTCCTGCTCATTTAAATCCTCAGATTTTCAATAGTCGAGAGAGCATGGCTTTACATGAAGCTCCCGGTCGTCAGTTTGCTGGAAATATGAATCGACCTCCATTTCACCATCCTAATGGTGGACTGACAGGGTTTGATCTCCCTGCTCACCATCCTATGCTGCAGCAGATGCAGATGGCTGGAAATAACCCTCATCTGCTACATGACCGTCTAAGGGGCGCACAGGTTCCTTCACATCTCAGTAATCAAGCAGCTAACAATATGCAGGAAGTTAACAGAGTTCAAGCTTTCCCTTTTGTGCCACACCAAGTCAACATTAGTGGCCGTACTGTGCAAATGCCAGGTAAAAGCTTAAATGTCCCCTTTCTGCAGCTGTCTGTGATGATATTTTAGAGATTAAAACCTCAAAAAGAAGTTGCTCTTTTCTTATCTTGCTGAATTTAATGCATAGATTTCATTTCTTCAATGTTTTCTACTTCTTCCTCAGTTTTTCCATCATGATATTGAAAGAAAGCACGCGTGCACCTTTCTTGCTAGATTACACCTCAAAATGAGGTTTCTCTTTCTGATCTTGCTGAAACTTAAAAGTACAGATTTCAGCTCAACTGTGGCCTCTACTTGTTCCTTAGTTTTTCTACCATGATATAAGAAAGCACGTGCATCTTTCATTATACTCTTCCCTGTCCCCTCGTGTATGCAGCGATTCTGCAGTTTTAAGTTGCTGTGCTGGTTACTGTCACCATGCAGATTATAATGAATTTCACTACATTTTAGAATTACAAGGGGCTGCTTGGGATTCATCTTTATATAATATTCTCCTGTTTTTTGTTGAGTGACGTCAGGTCGAAATGAGGATTAAACATGACCAAATGTTGAATATTCTGTTATCACCTTTAGCTTTTCCTCAAAATTGTGATAGGTTGGGAAATATATTTTTCTGAAGCAAGTCGGTGACCTTTTTATTCCTCCTTTGCTTATGAATTTGGCCTTTGAGGCTTGGGATAGTGAAGCATGCTCTTTTCCAGCCCTAGTATTCTTCTCGATGGTACATGTCAAGACTTCTGCTGTTAGATAATTAATGGACCCTGGGAAACTGGCAATACCAAAAAAGACGTGCATATCATTCATTCTAAGTAGGCCACTGTGCTGTTGTTCCTTTTATTGGTGTGATACACTGATACTTTTCTGGTTGAGGATGCATTTTCTGCTGATGTTTAACTAGCTGGGTAAAACTTATTCATTAAATTTTTTATTTGTTTCACTCAGATCCAGATATCAACAGCAGAAACAATCATCCTGAGGCAATGCAAAGGCTTGCTGAGAGGCAACTTGGGGCTCCTAAGCAGATCCACCCTTTTGCTGGTGGCAATGTCCAGGGGATGTACAATCACGAGCTTGACATGGGATTGCGATACAGATAGTTGATCAGGGAGCGAGTCGGTAGCAATATTTGCAACTGGGTACCGTGTTTTCTTTTCCCAGTTTGACTAAGAATCCGCTGTTACAACTTTACCATGTTGTATTGCCTTTACCATCGAACCAAAGAATTGGAAACCATGTTGGCCTTCTGCTTTTTTGCACGAGGGGCAAGCATATAGACTCATGGGAAGTGGTGTAATTTTAGATTTTATTTTCTTGTACTTGGTAGGGTTTAGGGTCTCATCTTGTGCATGCATGGTTCAATTATTTGGCCCTTCATATGCCCCTTCTTCTGATGTTCCCCTTGCATTTTTTATTTTATTTTTTGGTTTCACATTTGGTGTCTGATACCCCCGAATCCAGATTCACGCTCCAAGTGCTCCCTAACAAAAGCGACTTCGTATGCAGAGGGACTCGTACTCGAGACCTCTCACTAAGGATGAGGAAGTACTCCACCCAACTCCACCCAACCCTTGTTGGTCCCTTTGCAGATTCGTGTATAGCATCAATTTGACTATTGTATTTCTGATCTCGTATTATCCCAAAATGAATATGCATGCCACACGCAAAGGTCTAGTGTTTCACATGTACACAAGGTACCCTCCTTCCTAAATGTTTGGTAAGAGGGATGGGATAAACAAGGATATCCAATGAGATTATTTTATCCCACCTTTTATATGGAAAAGACTAAAGAGGGTACCCTGTGAACATTAGATCTGTGTGTGGCATGCATATTCATTTTGGGATAATTGAGATTAGTATATAGTAATCTCAATATTTTAGTACAAATCATGGGATAAAATAATTCCGGGATTATTATTTTTATTCGACGTACAAAGTAACCTTCATTGTTATTTTCCCGGTTCCATGGGGAGAGTTTATTCAACCCATTTCCTACTTTTTCACACTCTAGTGTGTATGAGATCCCATTCTCTTCTGCTATATAATATACTAACTAAAATTAGATTAGACAGGAGTTTGTAAGATTCCCATGTATAAAACCAGAAGTATCATATTGCCATCAGTAACTAGACATCACTTCATTTAATCAAATTAGCAGCATGAGCCAATTTTTTTCATCTTCTAAGATAAAGCAAAACAATTGCCTAGATAAAAAAATGAATCTTTACTATTATATTGATTCTGATAATGAAATTTTGATTACATGATGTTATGGTGTTGGGTTTTGATGATGATGAAGACATAAGCCAGATCCACCTTTAGTTTAACTGCACTTTTTTACTTTTCAATTAGTTGTAAATATTTTGTCACACTATTTTTTGTTTGCTTATATTTGTGTTTTGATTTTTAAATTCAAAAACAAAGACGTACCCCGCAAGGAAAAGATTTGCTACGAGGGATCCTTTTACCCAAACATTCTGCATTTCACTTTTAGAAATTTGTATCTTCTCAATATAAAACTAATGATAATTTAAAATGTTTTTTTTTATTTATATTGCAAAGTTATAGGATGGAATCTATTTTATTTAATTTAATTTTTTGTAACTGAGCTCTTTGGATAATTCTTAATTAGATAAAACTGAAATTAGGCTTTTTGGTAGAGGTGTTCAAAAGAAACCAGCAAACCACACCAAATCAATAAATCAAGAAACAATTTGACTAGTGGTTTTGTATTGAATTTTTCTGACATAATTAATTTGATTTAATATTAACTAAGGAGTAAAAAAAGTTTAATCGATATTAAATTTATATATAAATTATAGAAATATTTTGTTTAAAATATTTATTATAACTCGTAAGTTACTCTTAAACTTTTTCATAATTTATATTTCTTAAAACATTATTTCAAGTTTGAAATGACAAATCACATAAATGTCCTTTTTTAGGGTGATCTTCAATTTTTGTCCCTCAATGTGGTGGTCTATAATTTTTGTCCTTTAACATTTTAAGTTACAAGAAAATGACCAGAAATACCTCCAACGTCGGAAAAAAAAATTGCGAAGGCAAAAGTTCATATTTTCATATTTTTGGGGTTATGTATAGCTTGTCCTTAAATTTCACTTGAGAGTTACTGACTTACTCCTCACAAATTTATCGCTTAAAAACTCCTAGCTCCATTTGTTTGTTTTGTTTTTCATAAGAGCTTGATTTGGTTTGCATTGGGATTATTAGTGTAAAAAATCTTTTTATGTTGATTTTTGTACAATTTGCACGCACCTCTATTATTCTGCATCAAAGACCTTGAAGCTAAGTAAGGAGAGGATAAAGCGCTTTGAAGGACTCTATCTACGTAGTAATAGTAAGTAGTAGCAGGAAGGGCCGAGCGTTTACTTTTCAATAATCAATAAACTAGCGTAGGCTTCGATAGACTTGCAATAGCGATTCTTAGAGTTAATGTTACAACACATCAACCAGCCAACAAATACTCATTTGGTTGCCTCAAATAAAGATGAAAACACCTCTATATCCTTAATATTGTTTTCTTAATCCTGAACAGAAATTGCACATACATGTATATAACAAAGAACATCACAAGCTAGAGAATCACCTGCTCATTCATTTGCAGTAGCATCCTCAGATGGGGCATTATTTCCATCTAGAAGAGGGAGATAAAGACAGTAAGTCTTACAACGCTTCGTTGATGGATCATGAAAAATTAACAGTAAGTCGAATTTGACAGTTACACAACCTTCTCTAGCCCTTAAAACTTTGTTGTAAATCCTCGAATCATGTCCATACTTCTCGAAAGATTAAGTTAATTTCAAGGATCAAATTGAAGGGGGAGAACAGAAAGAAAAATACCTTCACCCAAGAATGGAGCACAAGGAGACTTGCGGTATCGGGATTGTTGCTGTGTTGGCTAAATTAAGAAAATTCAGAAGAAATGTCAGAATGATAACGCTCACAAAGCAAATGGTAAACACTTGTAGAATCAAACACGGTCTACATGGAGGTCATGTCGCTCCTCATCCATCATAAGTTGCAATGAATTACATTTTATACATCCAAAATTCAAAAACAAAATAAATATTGAACAGTTGTTAGAGCCTGACGCCAAATATAACATGTTAACAACCATGCTCTACATTGTCAAGGCCTCTCTAACATCAGGTATAGATATCTTCTATATACATACTAGCTTTATGTAGAAGATACACTTGTTTCTTATGAAAATCGAAACAAACAACAACATACTCAATGTAGTCCTACAAGCGGGGCTGGGGAACGTGGTGTTTACACTGCCTTACCCCTACCTTGTGAAGGGAGAAGTTGTGGAATTTGTTTACTAGCTTCAGAGGTATAAGTTGGACTGTTCCAGGGAGAACAGGACAGGCTCTAGAAAGCTGGAATATGGAGGGCAGTGGCAGCACAGACGAGTAGATGGAAAATTGTCCCAGCTGTTATTTGGTGGACCATATGGAAAGAAAGGAATTCTAGGAATTTTGATAACAAGAGCAGCCCTCTGCACAAGATTAAAAAGAACTGCATTATCACTTTTTGCTATTGGTGTAGTTCAGAGTATATAGATGACCCTGTGGCTATTGTAGACATTCTAGGGTCCTTATAAAGGTGAAAGGAGGATGTAGGGATAGTTCTCTTTTTTCTTCTTTCTTTTCTTTATCTTTTGTTTATGCCCGACACACGTGTGGAGGGAGGATATGCTGTAAATTTTTGGATACCAGCTTTGAGCTGATGATTGATATACAAATGTTACCTTTATCAAAAAAAAAAAAGTTGTTTCCGATAGACACTCCTCAAGTAAGCATAGTAAAATCAAGTATAAAAAGGGAAATACAACAGTGAGGCAGTCTAGTCTTGCTGAACGTAATGGAGAAGAGAACAATAACAACACATAAGACGATAACTAAAGTAAAGAAAACAACAAGTAATAATAAAATCGAAGAACAAGATAGTATGTGAGTAATAATAATAAATAATAATACTAATAAGGGAAACTAGACAACGCTTGACTACCTTTTAATATTCTACCATAATCCTCATATCTAGGGTCATGTCCTATCTAATCATCTTCGTCCAGTACTTCTTCGACCTACCTCTACCTCTACTCTCCTCATACCCACCATATCCAACTTCTCACACCTCCTTATTGAGGCATCTGTGCATCCCTTTTTCACATGCCAAACCTTTCCTTTCTTTTGTAGCGCTTTCTGAGTGAGGCAAACCCTCTTCACTACCGACCAAGTAAAGCATTTCACCTTGGTAGGATTTTGATATAATCCCATTGATACTGCTGCCTCCCATTAAGATTAAAAATTTCTCTTTTGTAAGCACTCTTGACAGAGTGTTTCAACCATCTTTCTCATGCTTCCAAATAATTCTATCTGAATATGTTGTAAAGCCACTGAACCCCTCAAGTTCCCCAGTAATGAAGCCGCATTTTCCACTTCTCAATCATTTAGAAAACTTCTGAAATGATAGATGCCACCCTTGAGGGGACCAGCATTCACCTACTCTAGCCTCTGGATTGTTGCAAATGTTGAACAAATCTGGAAAAGACTCTATAAAGGGAGAATGGTCTATCCCGTCTTCCTTTCAAAATTTAATCTTGTTACCATTTCCACCAACCTTTAGGTTAAGATTTGGCTCCATCATAGGCCACAAGGCCCTAATGGTTTTCCAAACACCTACTCCATAAAGATCAGTGACTGTCTCTGTACACCAAGAACTTGCCTCCCTAAGCTTTGCTTTAGTTACCTCCTTCCGTAAAGCTTGCTCCTCACCATTATATCTCTAAACTCCAAGCCACTTCATCAGTAGGCTTTTACCCTGTAATCTTGGGTTTCTGTTGCCCAATCCACCCTTCTTGCTAAGTGAAACAGTTTGCCACTTTACCAAGCAGTACCCCTTCCCTTCTTTGCATCTTTGCCATAGAAAATTTCTCCTCAATGAGTCCAATTTTTTTAACAACTTTGGATGATATACGGAACAGTGATATCACATAAGTAGGAAGAGAATCTAAAACAGAATTTATTAGATAAGTCTACCCCAAGGCCCCAAGTGATAAGTATTGTGTTTTCTACCTAGCTAGCTTTTTCTTTGTTTTCTCCACTATCCCATCCCAGATTCCTCTGCTTGGTGTTTGCTTCCCAATGGCATACCAAGATAAGTGGTTGGCATATTCCCCACTCTACAGCCTAGAATATTTGCCAATTTCTGAATCTGAGTTACCTCTTTGATAGGAAAGAGGCTGCTTTTATCCCAGTTGACCTGCAAACCTGTTGTTGCTTCAAATACCAGTAGCATCACTCTAATGTGACATATCTGCTCAAGCTTTGGCTCACAAAGATTAGTCTGTCATCTGCATACAACAAGTGACTGATCTCCATATCTTCCCATTCATGCCACCAATTTGAAACCCTCTAATCCACCTGTTGCTTACAACAATTCTCATCATGCTATCAAATCCTTCCATTGCCATAATGAAGAGAAAGGGAGACAAGGGGTCATCTTGTCTAAGTCTGATTGAAAGAAAACTGTAGGCTCTCCGTTAATGAGGATGTAGAACCTTATAGTCTTAACACAAAAACTAATCTAGTTCAACCATTTGTTCCCAAATCCCATAAATCTAAGGATGCTCACAAGGAATTCCCAGTTTACATGACCATAAGCTTTCTTTATGTCTAATTTACACATAAGACCAACCTCTTCCCCTTTCAGCCTAGAATCCACACATTCACTGGCTATGAGAATTGCATCCATAATTTGCTTCTCTTCAATAAATGCCATTTGATGCTTGTTTACAAGTTTGTTCAATACTTTTTTCAACCTTTCTGCCAATAGCTTTGCAATAATCTTATACACTCCACCAACCAAATTGATTGGTCTGAACTCTGAAGTCCTTCAGTTCCAAAGCCCCTATCTTCTTGGGAATCAATGCTATGAAAGTAGCATTGAAGCTTTTTTCAAAGACCTGATGTGAGTGAAAGTACTGAATAGTGTTTATGATATCTTACTTTACTAATTCTAGAAGGATAGAGAGAAGCTCATAGGATACCCATCTGGCCCAGGGGCCATCTCCTTAACATAAGAGTTTGATACACTCAACTCTCCTCTTCAAATGGTCTCGGCAACTAGATCTGTTCTTCATTTGAGATGATTGGACTATTATGCAATTGAAACTCAGATCTCCACATTTCAGGGTCCTTGTATGGATTCTGATAAAAATTCTGGATTGCCATCTTGATTTCACCAGGGTCAGTAATTGAATTCCTTTCAATTTCCAAGAGATCAATGTATTTAAGCTACTCACAAGTTAACTAAATAAGTTACCTATTTAGGGTGTGTTTGGATTGGCTTATTTTAAGTGACTTAAAGTTAAAAGCTAAAATCCATAATTATGAGCTGCAACAATTCTATGGCTATAGTTGGTATGCGTGTCTCCATGCTTCAACCATTGTACCGTAGATCTCTATTTCCAGGCTCTCTTTTCATTCTTTGCCACTTGCTCAAATTCCATAATTTAAGTGTGTTTTCTAGAGTAGTTCATCATTAGAGAGGTTTCTCTGTTCTTGAATTGCTTCCCAACTAGAGAATTGGTTTAGAATGTCCTCCTTTCTCTATTTCAAGTTCCCTTTGTTGTTCTTACTCCACTCGTTCAACTTTCCTTTTAGCATTTTTAGTTTATCAGCCAAAACATAGCCAGGCCTTCCCTTTACAGAGAATCATCTCCACTACCCAGTAGCACTCTCTTTGAATCCCTCAACTTCCATCTACTATGTTTCAAATTTACAATATGATTTTTTTCAGCTCCCAATTTCCACAAGTCTGCAAGATTGGGTTATGATCTGACCCGAGTTTTGGTAGTAAGATTTGCTTAATGTGTAGAAAGTTTTGCTCCCATTATTCACAATGAAGAAACCTTTCTATCATGGAAGTAATTCTGTGGTTGTCGCCTCTTCTCCAAGTAAAAGACCCTCCAAATAAAAGAGGGTCTAACAGTTCAAGCTCTTCAATGCAGGATGAAAATTCTGCCATTGCCCCATTACTCCTATAATAGTGTGTTCATTCTATGGGATACTTGATGACATTAAAGTCCCTACAGACAACCTCAGGCCCATTGAGAGAGCTTCTAACAGCAGTCAACTCATCCCATTACACTCTTCTTATCTCTCTGTTGTAATCAGCATATACTGTACAGAGGATTCAAGTAAGATCTTCATTAACCCTTGGAATTTGCTTGTAATACACTAGAGCCACTCTCCATCAATTCATAAGTCCACTCTTTTATACCAAAGAATCAAAATTCCCCCCTACTTCCCACTGCCTCCTTATGCATTTCCCTAACCCATTTATTACTCCAAATGCTTTGCAAGATACTATCTACCGGCCTTTCTATCTTAGTCTCCACTAAAACATAGACATATGCCCCCCATTGGTGAATTAGATTTCTGACAAGATCCCGTTTACACTCAATATTAAGCCCCTAACATTCCAAGAGATCATTTTTGCTTTCATTGCTGAAAGTGTTAGATTTCTCCCTCTGGACCAAGGTTTCCCATCCTTCAATTTCATATAAAAAATCAGGTTCCTAGCCTCTTCTGAAATTGCATAATTGTTGTCGTTGGTATTAGACTTAACCTGTTTCAACTCCTCTTTCTCTCTCCTTTGATCTAGTTTCATAAGCAAACTCTTTCTCACACCTCTTGAAACTGGCTCCAAATTGTTTACCTAGTTTGATCATATTTTATTGAGCCCATGAGTTTGCTTTTTAGGTATGTCTGCTATATCTAGGCTATCATCAATTTGTGAAGGTCTCGGCTCAGCATAGACCACAACGGGGCTGGTTCAGTCTACCTCCCAGTGCGACAACAATCAACTCCTGATTGTCATATCTTTCCCTTTTCCATATATACTCAAGTTTAACCTCCCCAATACAACAACGTTAGCCCTTTTTGTCTCTGCTGCAATAGTGACACCTCGAGAAGGACTATCATCCACCTCTTTTCTCCTGTAGGCCTCTGGCGCTTCAACCCATACTGAGAGTTTGCAGATGAGACCGCCGTCAGAGACTTCGATCAACGAAGGGATCTTTTCTTTGGGACCTCTAACCCTAATACAAGCCCATCTCAGATGATTTTTCAATTATGTTTCTTCTTTATTCTCCAACAAACCCCCACATACTTTCCCTATCATCTTCATAACCTCTTTGCTCCAAAGCTGAAGTGGAAGACCTAGAACTCTAACCCGAAACCAATCAAACCTTGTGTCTTCTGGGAGGGCTCCTTTGGTCAGCAACCACCAATCTAGCTTCAGTTTTACTCCCTGACTCCACCATTCTCCCATAAGAGTATGTTCTGCCGAATTCCTTGACTGGAACTCGAATAGGAATTGGGTCCCATTCATGTCGTAAACCTGAGTGTTTGGGATGCCCTTCCAAATTTGCTGAGCCCACCTCCTAACATACATCGAGTGGGTACTTCATCACCACCGCAGAATCTGCCAACCAGACACCTACTCACCTACTCGTTACTTTATTCACGTGTCTAAGTTGTGCAAAGCCACTGAATCAAGCTCATTTCGGAATTCCTCATCTCCATATTATGATCGCCCATATCTGAATCTGTCTGTATTATCTTCTTTTGAATTTTGTAAGGTTGCTCTTTCTTTCTGCCATTCTACTTGCTTCACATGTTTATTCGTTGTCAAAAAGAAATTTCACTGTCTGTTCAGTTATATTTTTTATTTTCACTTATCATTTTCTCAAAATTATGTGTCTCCTCTCAATGGCTCTCCTTGAGTTGGTCTTTGACTTCAGGAGTCTGATTTACAGTTTTAGGCAACATTTCAGCCATTAACAAATTTGCTGTCTTTATCAGCTATTGTTTGTACCAGACTAACTGCATCTAAACCTGATATAGTAAAACTGATTGTATTCACGAGGGAATAGAGACCCGCCTCATCCATTTTTTAAGGATATGGAGAACTCGGAGTCTATACTAGTTCAAACTTACGTACTTGAATTATGTATTCCAATGTCTTGATTCAAGAACTTTACAAGGCATGAAGAAATTTGGACCTAAAATTCCTCTAGCATAATCTATTGCTTCTACAAACGTATTAAAATCATTTAAAAGAGGTTTTTCCTCTCGTCTTTTTTTTTTTTATCAAGTAAGGTTTTCATTGATAATAACAAGGTCACTTGGCTGTATACAAAAGATATACCAAAAAAGAGAGACCTACAGAATATGATTCTCTCCAAAAGACACCCAATCCTCTATATGCATCAAAAGAAAATAAGGGATCGGAGACTACTCCTCAATTGAGCAGAGTTCATCTCCACTCGTTCAAAAGCTCTCATATTTCTCCCTGTCCAAATGACCCACATAAGAGCTAGAGGAGCAACATTCCATGCCTTGTGTATTTTTCTCCTAGCTCCATTCTTTCAACTGAACATCAACTCCTTCACAGATTTAGGAATTATCCAAGTGACGCCAGACCATGTAAATATATCCTCTCATAACCTCGTGACTAATTTGCAAAGTAACAAAATATGATACATATCCTCACCAGTCTCCTTACATAGGAAACACAACCTTTCGATTCCTAAGGTTATCTGCCGTCAAAATCACCCCTCTAGTAGCTAACCACGTGAAGAAGCACATCTTCCTCAGCACCTTTGGTATCCATACCGCACAATATGGAAAAATAACCTCCACGTACACCAGAAGCTTCTCATAGAAGGACTTGACAGAAAACACTTAAGTCATTCCCCAACTCCTACTCAAAGCATCAGGTCTGTCAACTGACTCACATTGCTTTTGGAGTAAATTTAGCAATCTCTGAAGCTTGGTCACCTTCCAGTCCTAGAAATTCCTCATAAACCTCAAATCCCAAAAAGTTTCATCCCCTTGCGTCCCGCTAACTTATTGACAGATAATTCCCTTTAGCATGAAACCCTATACAATACTGGGTATTCATCCTTAAGCCTCAAGCTTCTGCACCACTTTTGCCCCCCAAATTTTATCTGTCTTTAATAGATTCTACTGCTTCTATCCGTGTTCTAAAGGTAACATTTGTTTTGCCATGCATTACTATCTAAAACTAAAACTTTTTTTCTTTACTTTTTGCAGTAAAATACTCACATACTATGCGTTCATGCATGCTATAGCAAATTTTTTATCTCAATGATTTTTACAATAGGAAATTCAAAGATTACCCTTCGGGGTGGCCCACTGGTTTGGGCTTGGGACTTCCTTTCTGGAGGTCTCAAGTTCAAAACTCATTGCCAGCGAAAGCAAGGTGTTTACCTTCTGGGTCGAGCTCGTTGCACCGGGCTTGCCTAGTTTGGGTTACCTCTCCTATGTGGTTTGCGAGCTATTGCATAGGAGCGGTAAAACCCCCTATGCGCACCCAAGGGGTAGCGGCTGCGGGTTTCCCTTGTCATCAAAAAAATAAAAAAAAATAAAAATCAAAGATTGTCTTTCTCCTGTGGCTGCAATTGGGCACTATGAATCTTGGACAAGAAGCGTATCATAACGTGAGGATACAGGTAGGTAATGGAGACAACACCTTATTTTGGCTAGACAAATGGAATGGCAGCAGGACTTTAAAAGAAGAGTTCCAAATGATATTTGAATTTGCTACTAGTATTTAATCCAAATTCCTCAGTAAATCAGGTAAGGGAAAACAATTACTGGAACATTAACTTCAGGAGACAATGTCATTACTTCATCGTTTGACGAAGCGATGCCATGTAGCATTGACCAACCCCCCAAAAAAAAAACCCTACCAAACAATGTACTTTAAGGGCTCAAATTTGCAGCAGAATGGCTAAAGAATGGTTAACAAAAGCAACTCTATGCGAAAAGAGGTGTAATGGAATTGACGTAATACCTGCAACTTTGGCTGAAGTGCCTCAAGTGGCCCTTTAGGCTTCTCTACGCCTTGCTGTGATCATTAACCATATTAAGGGTTAGGTGATAACCATAATATAAGCATCGACTGTAACAAAATTGTGAGACTATAAAGTGGACCAGTACCTTTCCAAGAACCCAATCAGCAGAATCAAAATAAGCACGCTCGTGATCCTGACAGCAAATACGGGTTACTTCAAACAGAGAGAACTTGACCAAACACTGTGGACATTCAAAGCACAGGCAATGTAGCATGGTAATGCCACTTGGTCCACTACCTTAGAGATTAGAAGTGGTTTCTTTGGCATGATTCCTCCATATTTATTTTTAACAACTTCCTCCTGTAATAACAAAATGGTAAATATATATCCAAAGCTCTGTATTACAATTTAAATATAAAACGATAAGCAAAAATCTTAATGTGAACGCAACTTCCTGTTTGGAAGATGGCATTGAATTTTCTGCTCCTTCTATTTGGTCTTTGACATCCCCCATCACTTACAAACTTCTAATGACCTAGTTTACAGCTGCAATTGCCAGGTAAACAACAACATACCCAGTGAAATCCCACAAAGTGGGGTCTAGAAAGGATAGAGTGTACACACACCTTACCCCTACCTCGTGGAGGTAGAGAGGTCGTTTCTGAAATACCCTCGGCTCAAGTGAAGCAAAACAAATTAGTAATGAAAAGGAAAAACAACAGTGAACAAAACATGGCAACTAATGGAACTCATATAGGGAAAATGTAAAATGAAAGAAAGGCATTAAAAATAAGCTAGATACAGTTGATTGAATAATTCCAATTCCTCTATTCGCCAAAAGCAACCCTTGAAATAACCAAGCATTCAAAATAGAGTGAAGTTGCATCCCAGCAGCCACATAACAGAAAAAGAACAAAGAAAAACCTTAACATTGATTTAGAATTGTAACTACTTAAGCTAATCAACAAGGGTATCATCATCTGCGTCTGGAGATTGAGAAGAGCATCATTTTGCTTCATGTATCTTGTTTTCCCCCGTATCGTTACCAAACTGATAACCATAGTTGTCCAACAGATTATTGAACCTTCTCAAAACTTCAGCAGCTTCAGCCTTAGCTACCACAGCTTCCTTGACCCTAATCTCTGCATTATACCTGGCCATAACGGCAGCATTGTGGATCGACTCAGAAGCAATGGTAGCAGCGGCAACCAACTGTTTAGCCAAATGGGGGTTAATTTCAATGGCATTATTAGCATGATTGGGAGTAACACAGAAGAAAGTGAAATTAGGGTTAGAACAAGGAGGGCACAAGTAATCATCGGAGACGGAAGCAACATCAGGGACGCAAGAGAGGTGTGAGATAGAGGGGCATTTTTTGCATAGGAGACGGAGGTGAGGGGGAGGAGGGTTGTGGAGGAAGACATCGAAGCAGGTGGGACAGAAAGAACCAGGGTGGGAGTCCAGTACGCAGGCGGTGCAAAGATGGTGTTGGAGACCTCTGTAGAGGAGAAGGTGGAGGATGGAGGGGCGATTGGTCAAACATACCGCGCATCGGCGGCCAGAAACACCGTCAGATGGCAGTTCTTCCACCGACTGCGACATCAGAACAAACAATGTTCTCTATCCTAGGGCCTGTCGTAAACTCACATTTATTTATACATACTGATAATAGGAAAGTTGTTGAGATTTTAAGTATCCAACCCCCTCCTTTGCTCTCTTGTATTCTCTGCATGCATTTATGACTGTTTGAAATAGATACATATTTCCCTTTTTACTTGGAAATTCTGAAATATCACACAAATTTGGTACTTTTATCTCACCAGCCAATTCTCTTTTCTCTCTCAAGCTTGTCCCCTATTGTAGATTCTATCAATAAAAGTATATTCACTAAGAGGTGTTTGGTAGAGTGCATTAGAGAAAAATAATGCATGCATTAGCATCATGTATTATTAGTACCTTGTTTGGTATACTTTTTCAACCTATATATAACTAATGCAAGCATTAGTTATACACTCTATTTGGTATTAAGGTATGTATAACTAATACACTCTTTAGCATAAATAAAGACACAATTGTCCCTCAAAACATTTTCCACATCCTCTCCACCATTTTTTTTTATAATCGAGAAATCCGTTTGTGAACAGCCTTTGGACCAATCACAACCTTCTAAACTCGGTGGATAATGGGCCCGCCCCTCTACCCTTCTCCACTTAAATACCGGGCTTCGCTTTTACATGGTGTGGGGCTTGAACCTGCGATGTAAGCCACAAATCCTCCTCCTTTTGCCACTCGAGCTTTTGTGAGGGATACTTTTTAGAAATTATGCAATACATATTATTTTTAATACACCAAACCAAACACTGCATAAGAAATAATCTCATCATAACTAATGCAAGCATAACTATACAAGCATTACTAATACACCATATTCAACATTATTCTTATACACCCTATCAAACGATACCTAAAGGAACAAATTATTTAGTACCCGTTGTTCCCTTTTATGTGACACTCTCTTTTTCACATCTTCTTTTTAGCATGTTTCCAGAATAATGACACTTTTTTTATATTTAGAAACAACTTAACTTTGAACTTCTTGAAAGGAAATACATAGAGTAAGACGCCTCTTAAAAATCTCATTGATTTTCCAGGAACGATTTACCCCAGAAATGATTCATGAATTCAATACTATGAAAATCCAAGTGTGCTTTTTTTTTTTCTTTTGATATGTGAAATTCCCAGATGTTTGTTTTTTCTGGAAAATTGTTCTGTTCACGTGATATTAGAAGTTGAGAAAATACAGAAAGACGATTTCCCAATGCATTGCTCAAATTACAAAACAACCCAAGATCTTAATTCATAACCACAAGAAAAGTAAATAACTCAACTGCTCATGCTTCAACTACAATATTCCCAACCAAAGAATCAGTGGAAGGTTAAAGTATGTAATTGAAGATTTTCATCTTTGTATTTGTAACTAGATTCAGTAACCATGTTACACTAATGTAGTGTGACCATATTACTTCTGCAAGTTAGGAATTTTGTGGATACAATATTTATCTGATAAATCACTTACTAAGAACTGGGTTATTACATACACAACAGAAGCAAGGCTGACAAACCTTTCAAGGGTAGCAAAATCTTCACTGGTTTCTTCGTAAGCCTAACCTTTATTCTGTATTTCAGGCCTAAGGCATCTATGGATATAATAAAACAGAAATGCATCCAATGGAGCAATGCTAGTCAACCAAAACTTCTGCATCTTTCACCCCTCCCTATTTTACTTCATTTACCAAAAATTACAACATTGGTCCAACTATTTGGAATTAAGACCTAGTTGAGTGATTTATTGATACAAAAGGTAAAATGCATAGAGTACAAACATATGCAAACTCAAGGAGCATCAGATCCACATGGAACCAAAAAAATAAAATACAAAATTAGTCACAAAAGAGCAAAAAAAAGTTATCATAAAATGCACAAAGGGCATCACTTTGGGAGTTCTCCGCATCGGTTTTGCTCAAAGCTGCAGTGCAAGTCAGAGTAAACAAACATAGCACTTCCTCGACAAATGTCCACATGCACAAACATAGAACTTGATATGCATGTAAGTGTTTGCCAGTTTGTTTACCCAGTTTACCTAATGAGCACTCTAATCAACCTCCCTCTCTCTCTACGAGATAGGGATAAGGTCTGCCTACACTCTACCCTCCCCCGACCCCACTTTTAGGATTACATTGGGTATGTTGTAGTATCTAATGGTTAGATTTCCAATTAATTTGTTCCCTTGGTTTTGCCACAAGATTTTATTGCATTTTAAATAGATGTTAGTCTAAAAGTCTAAATAAAGTTACTATTTTGATGAAATCTGAAGTTTTTCTTTGATATATTAGTGAGTTTCATGATATACTTTTCACAATACAGAACTCAAAAGAAATTGAAAAAAGTGGGTGAAAAGTTACCCTTCTAGAAAGTGGACATAATGAGAGTCCAAGATAGGAAGTAGCATAAGTTAATTTAGGTTATAGGAAGTAATAATCTCAGAGGACAAAACATTACTCCATATTAGTTATTATAAGTATCATTAATGAAGTTCTACTACATCCTAGTATTGCTTGACAAACCTGGATTTAAAGAAACAGGTTTTAATTGATTTCAACTGTTAGATTTGAAATGTTAAGATAACATTGACAATTTGGAAGATAACATGAAACTTACAACTTAACAGTAGTTGTAAATAGCCCCAGAGTTATAGAACAAAGGATTATCTCGGACCTAGACCGAGTTATTGATGGTGATTTTCTAAAAGCTTACCAAATGGTATTAAAACTTTTGTGCCCTATCTAAGCACGGAGTTGGGCCACATAGTCTAAACGGAAGTATGGGCTGCTTGGTCTTTAGAATGGAGCAGACTGCATAAGGCTGGTTTCACAGAACAACGAATAGCTTCCACTCAATGCAGTGGAAGGATAACGGGCTGCCTAATTAATCCACCACTTTTATACACTTGTGGGATCACACTGGGTATGTTGTTGTTGTTGTTGTGGCCTACCGCCTACGCTTACCATATGGTGTTTAAACTCTTGTGGCCTTATTTCCTTTTCTAAATTTTCTTTAGGTAATTTTGATAGAAATGTTCAGAATATTGAGTGGGTAACCAATCAGCACAAAATCACCAGAACTCACAAGACATTATCACATGGAAAGCAGAAACAATTACCAATCAAAAGTAGAAGCAAAAGAAGTACAACATTAAGAAGTTGAGTCTTTTTCTACTAAATAAGCAGATACAACATACTGCACACCCAATTCACAATTCATATTCTATCATATGAAAATCATTGGGAAACAGTATTTTAGGGCTTTCTTCTGGAATCTGGAGAGGGTAACATATGGCTGGGATTTTTCTTTAAATACTAAACATCAGTCAGTCCGGTGCACTAAGGTTCGAGAAATACCGCACTACAAGGCTTTATTATACACAAACTTACCCGCAGAGACTGTTTTCAGAACCGGTGATCTCATGGTCATGTACCACAACTTTATCAATTACGCGCCAAGACAAAGTAAAATGGTGAGAGAAAACTGAAAAGGGAGTGAGGGACTTACCCAAACAAAGGAAGCAGAAGAATCGCCAGAGAAGTTGCTCTACTCTGAATCAACGGAGAAGAAGTTTAACAAAAAATGGAATGTTCGAATGAGATGGAACAAATAAACAAAATATATTTCAAGTCTTTACTTCAATCAAATCATATTTCAACTGTTCTTGGATGGGATTTTAGAAAAGGAGTCATGGGTCGGATTTATATATTAAAAAAAATACAAATATAAAATTTGAATTAAATTATTGCCTTTTAAAAAAAAACACTCATAAGTATATCTGTAACGCTGCCCGCTCTTAGGTGGAGTCACCTTGGTTTTACAATGGTATATTGGTGGTAATTGTGTGACAATGATTACAATTTGATTGACGATAAATATGATTGATAATAATGATTGATAACAATTGTTTGATGATAATCGATAAAGAAACTTTCAATTGAATAATATCTTTAACAATTTATTATATAAAAAAAATTAGAATGATTTTTCTTTATCCACATAGATTCATTAATTAGGTGACCTATACCTTGCCTTATTGTTTTTCCTATTCTATCAAAGAACATCTTGATTTGAAAAAAAAAATGTTTATTCAACCATCAAAAATGAAGATTTAACAAAAACGAAGAGCATATTATTAAAGCTTAGGAGTAATGCACGCTCATAGGATATGAAGATGGAGAAAACACCCTAGTAAAACTACAATCAAGCATTAAATCATCATTGTGCAATCATAAAAAAAATTCAATTAGTGTAACGATATATTTGATGATGACACCATTACCTTATTTTCTCATTTCCTTTCCTTGTCATTTAGAGTTCTTCAAATTGCTGATGGGTCACAATATGTAACAACAAAAAACGATACAACCTAGTAAACAATGCATTCATCAAAACAATACAAAACAATACAATTCAATACAAAACAATGCAACACGATACATTTGTACAACAATATGCTACAACCCTCCAAAACAAGCTGTTTATAGAAACAATTTGCCAAGTACTTTTACAAAATAAATTTGTTACGCCGAAGCACCTATTGCAACTACCAAAATTGTAGGACGAATGTTAACTCTCTAAAGCCTTAACCTTAATAACAAACCTCAGCACACACTAACAACAAAGCTGATGCATTAAACCAACCCAGAAAAAAAAGGACATGTATACAAGATATTCAGTTTAAATACAGCATATGAACACATTAACATGGATTTTTCGGCCTGGGGCTTTTGTATACACTCAACAGTCAACACAGATGATCCGTGGATGAATGTCTTCTGCAGCTTCTGTACAAGGATATGAATTGCCTTACAGCCTCACACCACCTAATAATTATGTAACCACTCTTCAGCTGCAGCACTAGGTGTCTCCCTTTGCCTGCTGCCCACTAAGATGAGGCACTACTTTAATGACCATAAAGGTCCTTTTTCCAATAGTTAGAATCCAGTCAAGAAGTCCATTTCACTATGACTGAAAGTTAGAAGCCTAGAAAAACCTCCTCCGCAGATTCCTAGTGGTTGCCTGATATGAACGCATAAGTAGTCCCACCCCAATTCCAACACCAACACACATCCCGAGGCCTATCCCAACACCAACCCTCACTCCTGCGTTGAACCAGGTGAGCTGACCATCTTCACCAGGGTACATGTCGTCTGAATAGAATCCATATCCAGCTTTCTGCTCCACCTCATAATCATCCATATCCTCTGTGGTCTGCTAAAACATGCAGTAATTGTAAGCAAACTAATTGTCATATCTTAAAACAGGTAAACTAAACTGTCATTTGATCAGCACCAAAAACTACTTTTTCATGAGGACATAATTATCGATCATTAAACTATGTCGACATCAATTAGTCAATAAGAAATTGTCATTTGATCAGCAGTCAAAAACTGCTTTTTCATGAGGACATAATTATCGATCATTAAACTATGTCGACATCAATTAGTCAATAAGAAATTAAGGGTACTTAAAACTTAATCGTGAAGGAAGAGACAACCATAAGAAAAAATAACATGAGATGGAATGAGAAGAAAGAGAAACACAGAAGCTCAATTAGAGACTCAGGCAGAGATGAGAATGGAAAAGAAATAGAGCGCGCAAGAGAGAGATGGAAATGAAAAAATCTCTCTCAAATCTAAAGCAGCGTAAAATTTTTAAGTTATAATGTGTTCAGCTTTTAGGATAAGGGACAGATTACTGTCTGCTTATCAAAGGCTCCACTGACAAGCATTTTAGAAGAACATAAGAGGGTCTAGGACAAAACCGTATCCACTTCACAAAATGCTTTTGTAAAGGGAAGACAAACACTAAACGCAGTGTTGATGGCTAATGAAGCATTTGATTCTAGAGAAAAGTAAGGAGTTATGTCATTTTGTGCAAGTTGGACCACAAAAAGGCATATGACATGTAAACTAGGAGTTCCCGGACATCATAATAATGAAGATGGGATGTGGAGTTAGATGGATCAAACATTGTTTTTCTACTGATAGGTACTTAGTCCTTGTGAGGGCAACTTGTGCAGTTTTTTCAGAAGTTCGACAGGGCATAAGCAAGGAGATCCCTTATCTCCCATTTTGTTCATTCTAGTTATAGAGGTATTGAGCATGTAGGTACTTGCCGGGTTCCTCTGGTGCGGTGGTGGAAATAGTGTCATCAAGGTTTCACATCTATTGTTTGCGGATGACACATTGGCTCTTTATGATGCTGACAGGATCCAATTGGAACACCTGCGATATGTGCTAACATGGTTTTAGGTAGTGTAAAGCTTAAAGATCAACCTTAGAAAATATGGGATCATACCAATTGAAGAGGTGGAGGATATAAAGGTTTTAGCACTGTGTCAATTGTAGAATTAGATCTCTTCCCACCACTTATCGTGGCTTGCCACTAGGTGCTTCAAACAAATATCAAATTTGGAGCTCTTCCCACCACTTATCGTGGCTTGCCACTAGGTGCTTCAAACAAATATCAAATTTGGAGCTCTTCCCACCACTTAGCTTGGCTTGCCACTAGGTACTTCAAACAAAGATCGAACAAGTTGGAATATGGTACTACAAAGGGTTGAGAAAAAGCTTGCAGGATATCAAAAAAGATACTTGTCCAAAGCGGGGAAAAAGTTTGTATTAAGAGCATGGTATAGAGTATCCCTACTACATGAAAAGACTTCAAAGAAACTTCCTATGGGTTCATCAAACGAGACAAAGAAGTTTCACTTGGTAAGGTGGTAGATTTTCACGACTCGTACTGCTAGGGTGGACATGAGGTTTAAGATCTAAGGGCGTTCAACGAAGCTTTATTGGGTAAATGGTTAGGGAGATTTGGATCCGAAGAACAAGCTTTTTGATAGGAGGGGATAGTGGAATAAATACAGAATCGCTAAAGGGGGATGAAGAACAAAAGTATCACTTTGCCTTATGGATGCGGTTTGTGGAGCAGTACGTAACTGATGGAAAGAATATAGTGCAAATATGTCTTTCAAGGTTTGGGATGGGATGGGATGGAAGGAGGGTTAGTTTTGGGAGCCACAAGTGGTGTATATAAGCATTACTTTCCCAAACATATTCAGAATTTCATGACCAAAGGAGATGACAATCCAATGGGTTAAAGTTAAAACTTTACAAATTGGAGAAGCTTTTTTGGGATTTGAGATTCAGGAAGAATTTTTAGGATTGGGAGGTGGTAGAACTCCAAAGTCCAATTAAGTTACTATATAAACAATGTATAACTCAGGATAATCACGTCGTATGAAGGTGGGGATGAGGAATAATGGGCTGTTCTGTGTTAATCTTACTATAGAAATTTGTTTTCTTAACCAAAGAATAGCTAATTTCTCTCTATGCTATTACCATCATCTTCCCATTTCAAAAAAACTTGATCCTGGCCGAGTGAAGAGACATGTACTTCTCAAACAAGTATTGTTTGAGCATCTCAAATTCTTGAGTAGTGCTTCACTATTCCATCATTTGTTGTGACACTACACCAAGAAATGTTAAATCCATGTAAAAGTGTCTATATGAGTCGAACGAGTCATCCATGGCATATATCAAACAAGCCACGTGTCCATGTATCTCTGTTCACACAAAAATACAAGTAACCTAAGAAAGATCTTTTAATGCTTTGTAAGCAATCTTCATGATTGTGTCTTCTCACATAATGTTTCCATTTTAAGTGCTTATGCAATAAGCATTTCTTAAGGTATTTGACCCCTTACTGCATCACTTTTTGGTCTTAGAGCAGGTGAAACTGAAAGATGTGAGACTGGTCACTTGTACGAAAAAATGCTATCAGATGCTTAACAACATAGACTTGCTCAAACTTGTGGAGGAGGTAGCAGTCAGTGGTGTCGTTTGAAGAAACATAAAGTTAATGCAACAGCTTCTTTCTTTTTTGTCTATGTCAAAAGCGTTGTTCCAAATTAAGTTTGACATTATGGGTGTAAAGCACAAGAGATCCATGTTTTTGCACATTGAGCACACAAGGTCAAGCCAAGCCTTGTCAATTCATATGTACCTTAAGCTGTTGTTCCCTACTAAAGGTTTTGTATAGCTCTACTTTATCTTCATATCAGAAGTGCTACATTACTAAATTTTAGTTTTCTTGATAAGAGCTACATCACTAGATTTTAGTCACCCGGGTAAAACACAACAACAACTTAAGACAGAATTATTCCACATTAGTGAAATTACTTGCTACTCCATCTAATGGTGAACATTCCCACAGCAATAGCATTACTAACTTCATCTAAATAGAGTTATGTTATCCCTCTTTTCTTTCTGATCACGGAAAAGGTGGATAAAAGGTATAATTGCATTACCAATGGTTTTATTTGTCGTCCGAATCCATTCGAGCTTCCCTGCTCCTTCGCAACCTCCTCATCCTCTGGAATTGCATCCAACATGCCCTGTCTAGGCAACTTCCTTCTCGGGCTGACCTGAATTGTCTTTGATAGAATCACAGGGACACCTGAACAACAACCCGCTATGTATACCTCAATTGATGGCGAAGAAACCCCAAATTTAGGCTGAAAAAAAACTGATCCATCATTCCCAAATGATGCTGTTGTGTAACAATCCATGCTCCATCCACTCCTCGAATCAGTCTCTAAAACATTACCACTAGCCCACGTTGTCTCTACTCTCTCCAACGACCCACAAAGTATTAGTTCCTTTTCATTCTCATGTACCTCAAATTCCACCGGCCCTGAAACCCTAACGCTATCCGTGCTCACATAAGTTACCTCCGACGATTCCTTATCAACCCGATCACGTCGGAGGGTTATGATGGCTGTATCAGTAGCCGGAATACGCGAACTGTTGATCTCTAACGTTACTCCCATCTCACGGCGGAGGTGGCGGAGTACAAGGTGGTCCGGTACGGTATCAACCGCGCATGGCGTTATACGTACGTAAAACAATCGGATTTCCAAGCAACCTCCGGTGAAATTCGAGTTTTTGTAGATTGCCATTGACATATCCTGACCTTGATTACCCATTAATCCCAATTTTTTTCTTCAATCTACAAAAACTGAAGGAAATTGATCATTGATTAACAAGGAGAATTGAACAAAATTTAAGCTTAAGGATCGATAAAAATCACAATTTCGAATTTAGAGGTGAGAAATAGTGTAGATGTTTTGTTATGTGTAAACATGGCGAGAGAAAGGATCAAAACCTACCATTATTTTACGAGGGGTCAACGGAAAAGCTTAAGAGCTAAGGAGATGTTTGTCCGTTTAAGTTAGGTAATGACATAAATAATTTTTCTAAGCTTTTGAACCGTCTTTTTAATAATTGACTGCTATAAGAATAAAAAAATAAAAATTAGCAGGTTTTATGAACATTTCAACATAAATTAAATGATTTGACATTATCACATATCTCAAGATTTTTAAATATAAAATGAATGATTAAAAATATCTTAACATCTAATCATTTTTATCTTTTACATAATTTATCATAATATATGTTTGATGACATAATTGTCTTGTTAAGACTGAGTGATGTTTTTATGTAGCGATTAAACATATTTTTTTCTATTTTTTTGTTCATGAAAAATATAGAATTGATAATTTTATGGTTAGAATAACTCCTTGTTAAAAACAAATTATATAAAAGTTTTCGATAATCAATATTAGTTATAAATAAGTTAAGACCGTTAAAAATGTACACCACAACAACATAAATAATTTTTTTTATAGACAATCTACTTGTCTGAGGACAAACGTTCTCCACATTTCATTATTGTTACTTTGTTACTCTAACAAAATTTATAGAAGGAGAAAATAAATTTGAAACAATAGCAAAATAATATTGTTTACCCTTTTAGGAATTCAATCTTCATTAAATTACTGCTCTGAAGGTTCTTCTAGATGTTTCATCAATGCAACTTTATGACTTTTTTCAGAAATATGTATAGTTGTTGCATTATGAAAGTACAAGTAGATCAAAATGTTGGTTTCTAGACTCATGTTAAAGAAATATTCTCGAACATTAAAAAAATAAAAATGAGTCTAACCTAGATAACTCAAATGCTCAGCAATGACTTGGGACATAAAGGACAACAAATCTATGTTAATAGACACATCTTTTGTAGCTTAATACTTTTATTTAGAGAGGTTTTTTTTCATATTCTTCAAATTAAGCTTGTTGAAAATAGTCATAACTCACACCAAAAATATTTAGTAGAGCTGAATGAGAAGGAAAAAAGAAAAACATTAAAAGGACGAAAGTTTTGTTCAAGTGAGATCATATATATACCAAACGGAAAATAATCAATACAATTTTAAGGAGACAACAAAACAACAAAAAAAACATACATTAGAGGGAGTAAATTATGAGATATCCAATGATGATAACTAGGGGTGTGCATTGGTTAGTTCAGTTCGATTTTATGTATTATCGATTCAGTTTTCAGATTTTAAATACGCTAAATCGATAAGATAATTTTTTATCGGTTTTGGTCTTTAACGGTTCGGTTTTCGATTTAACCAATAAGAAAATGCTTATAAAACAAATATATGGTTTCTCTAATAAATTTGACACGACAAGATAATAATGTAAGGGCTCGTTTGGTGTGAGGGATTAGAAATAATAGTGATGGGATAAGGAAATAGTGATGGGATAAAAAAAAAATTATGTTGTTTGGTTGGCAAGTCCGGGATAACTTATCCCGGGATTAATAATTAGTACCGGGATAAGTTATCCCTCCCCATGGGTGGTATAGTAATCCCGGGATAACTTATCCCGAGATAGAATAGGTAAATGACAAATATGTCCCTTTAAATCCTTTTTATATATCATTTTTTACATTTATGTATATTTACATTTTTTTTAATACCATGTATAATAATATTTACTACTCCTTATTTTTATGATAATTATACATATTTTTCTATTAAAAAATTATACTATATAAATATAATTTTTATTTATGAATTTATTTGACTAATTCTTATGTTTATTTTATTTTGATTTCTCATAAATTTTCTTCTCTTTAATAAACTTAAGAGGAAAGTTCTATTTTTAAGCTAAATAAGAAAAAAGTTATATTTTTAAATACACATGGTACTTATCATGGGAATACATAAACAAAAATATTTAAGTTAAAAAAAATAAAAGTTTTATTTTAAAAAATGAATAACTAAAGCTCACAAAGAAAAATTTAAAAAGTTTAAATAAAGTGAAGGGTAATTTTGTAAACAAACAACTTGTTCTTAAAATTTATCAATATATATTATTTTGAATATAACAAACCAAACACTCAATAAGAAATAATCCCAGGACAACTTATCCCATCATAACTAATCCCAACATAACTTATCCCAACATAACTTATCCCATCATAACTCATATTCAAACCAAACGACCCCTAACTTTACAAAAGCTCATAAAATAGAAATAATAATAACAAACATGAAAAGAACAATACATGTGTAAGACAAAGAGAAATCAAGAGGAATATGGTTCTTACTTTAGGTTTTGACGATTTGTATGATGTAAAGTTGTGAATTCAAAGGCACAACGAAGTATGAATTGATGGCTAAATGACAAAGACATAACTATTAAGATATTGAGATTAATATTTACTGATACTTATGTATATGTAAAAGTAGTAAATTACTATAGTCTTAACTCTTAATGGGTTATCGGTTTACCCAATAACCCAATATTGAAAACCAATACCGAACCGATAACCCGATAATTCTTTTTTATAAAACCATTAAGAAACTGTTAACCCAATAACCCAATAACAATAAACCAATAACACTTTTCTCGGTTCGGTTTTTGCACACCCCTAATGATAACAAATCATTCTAACCAGAAAAGTTCTCATTTTAAAAATAACATACCTCAGAAAATTGACTAACACTTCAATCAACTTTCAATCCTAAAAAGTACTCATAATATCCAAGGATAAAATTTAGTAAAAATAGATAACAGTAACATAAAAACAAAAAAATATGGACATGCAAAATTATTAACTCTTAGAGGATTTTCTAAAGAACACAAAATCTCATCCTTGTATGTGAAGAAATGACGTTGTTGATGAACATAGATATTTGTAAGGGTTTTTTTATTGTACCTTCAATAATTCCGGTAGAGAAAACTTTTTTGAATACTCAATTAACGTTTGTTATTTAATATGTACTAACAAATAATTATAACAATAATATTGCAGAAACATAAAAACAAAATTGAAAGCATGTACTCAAAAATAATTATTAATAATATAAGCATAAATTAATGACTGTTAAAACATATTAGGATCTGTAACAATAGAATGAAACAAAATGGAAAAAATCGAGCCCACTGAATGCACAATGTCCCCTTAAGGAAATTATTCCTCCCTAGTACCCGGATTTAAAGGAATAGATCCTCTCTGGAAATAACGATTTTATTCACCAGTGTATTGATACAAAAAATGGTGTCAGTGTGTCATTCAACAGGAGCAAAGTACACAATTATTTAATTGTCCAGAAGAAGAAGAGGAAGAAGTTCAAATTTTTCGTTGTTTTAAAATGAGAGGAAATTCCTCTATTTATAGACAACAAAAGGTAGTGTGAACAAATGCTTATTGTGTCTTATCGGAAAGGTCACGACCTTTCATAAAAGTCACAATTTTTCATAAAAGTCGCAACCTTTTATAAAAATCGCAATTCTTTATAAAAGTCACAACTTTTCATAAAAGAGGAAGGCTAGTTTTGGAAATAAAATAAATTAAAAGGGAATCCTGGTTTGTGATGGCGCCACGTAGGCGGGTCTAGGGTTCTCTTTTATATATATATTACTATATATAATAATATTACTATATATAATAAGTGGGAATAACTACTACTTAGCACATGACAAGTGTTGGATGATATGTGCTTCATAGTGTTGTACATTCTTCTTTTATGATGGTACCTTTAAAATTTATATTATTTGACAATTTAACACCATTAATTACCTACTACTTTATTAGCCAAAAAGTTTGACCTCATTTGGGCCCATTTATTATTTATATGTTTTCAATTTTCAATATATGTTGTCTATCTAATTCTTTTTTTCAACCTTTTATTTTAAACTTCTTGAAATTTAATTACCTATTTATTACTCTCTCTATGCACTTCTAATTGTTATGATTTCCTTTTTAGAGTCAAACTATAAGAATTTTAACTAATATTTTACAATGTGTTTTTTCATCATATTCATAGGCAAAAAATTACAATTTATAGTACTTTTTGTATAGATTTTGCATATTTAATTTTTTTTAAAAAATATCGAATTAATACAATCTGATTTAACTTTGAAAATTAGTCAAATGGACTTTCAAAAAGCGCAACATGACAAATACAAGTGGACGAAGAGAGTATATTTTAGCTACAAAATATATTAGAGGTACAACTTTTTAAAAAATTTAAATTTTTATTGCGTTGACTCTTGAAATCTTATCATTGTCATATGAATTTGAACAAATTATATATTATTAAACCTTACATAAAAGATGCTATAAATCACAATAATTAGCAATTACAAATATTTTTAAATCATATAAGAAATTTGGTTAACTAATTGGAATAGAATAAGTAACATGTACTATTTGAAAATAACGTCAAAATTTCTACAATTTACAATAAATTAACAACTGAAAATATTTATGATTATTCACGTGAATTGAAACATGAGTAACCTATATTATTCAAAACTAATGCAAAAATACTATAAATCACAACAATTTAATAACTTCAAATATATTTTTAAGAAAACATATAAAAAATCGACTGATCTTCAAATTTCATTTATATCACATAAATTAAAACAAAAAAATTAATATTTATTGCACGGGCACCAAATATCTACATATATGTGTCACAAATGGAAAAGTCCTAATCAAGGAAGCAACATATATCATTTACAAATGACTTAAAAAACATTAAAAATTACAATAATTACCAATTTAAAATATTTAAAAGCTATATAATTCAATACGTTGACTCTCAGAATTCTATCAGACTCACATATATCTTTATTGATGGATACCTTCCTATGGAAGCCCAGCTTTTACAAAAAGGAAAAAGTAAAAGAGATACAGTTTCAGTTCGAGAATATTATTGTTATAAATTTCAGATGAGAAATGATGAT